GAGAGAGAGAGAGAGAGAGAGAGAGAGAGAGAGAGAGAGAGAGAGAGAGAATGTACACTAGGATTCATGAGTGCCTTTACACTTCCGGTATCTAGAGAATTGTACTTTTTCGATCTGGTGCATCGCTTCTCAGTAAGCATGAATCGTGATTGTTACACTGAGAGAAGAATTTAGTAAATTTTATTATCAAAATTTGATTACTATTACTAAATGATAGACGTAAATATAGCGAGCCAAAGCTATGGCAATACTTATTAATTAATTTAGTTCTGTAAAATAAATTATTTATTTGACAGAAGTAAAATTTATTTGCTTCCAGAATATATTTGGTAAATAAAACTTATTGAATAGTTGAGCAAAATAAGCGATTTTGTAATAGTTACAAAATTTTTAGGTTCAACCAACTATCTGTAATAATAGATATTGAAACGATGTAATAGTTGCAAATGAATGAATTTTTCGTTGTGCTGCGACAAAACATACTTATACTGGTAACAAAATAGAACTCGTACCTACTGAATTTTTTATTATATGGGATATAACGATTTCATAACAATTATCAAATATCTGTTCATAACTGTAATATATTTCATATTAAATATTTAACATTAAGTAACTATTACTAAATTATTTAATTGATGTTACTGTGAATGCAATTACGTCATACTCCCGATCTATTAAATATTTGATAATTATTATCCTATTTACTATTAGTTACTAAGGATTCAATGAATTTCTGTAACTAAATGCAGTTTGTTATAGTTATCAGTCTTTTCTCTCAGTGTAGTTACTGAAAGAATAGACAACTAATTGTCACGATTCACGTTCACTGAGAAGCGATGCGCCAGATCGAAAAAGTCCAATTCTCTAGATTTCAGAAGTGTAAAGGCATTTATGAATCCTAGTGTACGTAAAATCGGCTGCATTAGCCGTGTTGGGGGCGGCAGTGGAGGAGGTTCTCCTTGTCCCTTATACGCAACGCGTCGTTGACACAATAGGTACAATGCTAGCTGGCTAGAGGAAATCAACGTAAACAGGGTCACCGGGGTAACCCTCGACACGGTTAATGGCACCACCGTTATATAATAAATAAATGCAGACTGGCAGCCGGTGCGAGCTTGCTCTTAAGAGTGATCAGCCGACTTGAAGATTCCTTTACACTCACCTATTCCGGAGATCTTCCGTACCTATCTTTAGTCCCATTTTACAACAGATGTTTTGAGTCCTAAGCCTTATGTCTTAAGCTCTAAACTGTGATGTATTTCCGGCTTCAAACGTTTTCGCGCTGCTCTAATTGTAAGTCCTAAGCCTTAAGCGATTTGGCTAACTCCCATCTAAAGCTTAATACTCGAGACTTAGAATCGATATAATTTCTCTGAAGCATAAAGCTTGGAATTTAAAACTTAGTTTATTGTAGAATGGGACTTATGCTGCGAATGCATTTTTTATCTATCGGGAACTCGAGTGCCCGTCAGAAGTCATCCTAAGCGAGCCTCGCTATCGGCTGTGAAGTTCACAATCCGTTCTTCAAAATCGATTTTAATGTGGAATTCTAACTGAGACTCTGTCCGATTGCAAGGAGGGATGCCAATTTTATCACTAACAGTGGCGCATTAAGAAAAGGATATTTTAAAAATTTATTTACGGCACATAAAATTTACCAATTTTTATTCAGAGAGAAATAAATTTTATTTTTACAGAAATAAACTTTGCATACAGCAAATTGTCAAGTATTCCCTTTTAGTGCATGTATAGCGCACACAGAGTTGAATTTTTTGCGAGTTTTGCAATATGCAAATGAACGTCGTGAAGACTGAAAGTAAGACAGATCTCTTCGGAAGCAGAATCGAAAGATCAGATTGATCGAGAGTCCGCCACGAAACAGGGGAATCTCCCCGATGCGGTGAGCGGGCAATGAGCTATAAATTATCGCTTTACACCCAATCATAATTTGCGAATTCGAGTCGTAAGCTGATTCACGACGATACCGGCCGGATCGTCGTCGCTGGAAACCGCTAAGCGCGCACACACCGCTAACCGAGTGAAAAAGGAGCAGAAAACAACACGGTCGCGCGTGTGCGTGTACGCACGTACATGCGTGCGTACGTGCGTGCGTGGACGTATCTCACTTCTTCCTGGTGCGAGACGCGCGTAACGGTTCGCGCGAGTACGGTCGTATTAATCGACGTACCGCGAACTTCAACGACGCCTTAATGGCGAGACTGACAGTTCAGCGAGTGAAGTGGCGCAATCGTTAAACTCGGCGCTCGCCGGTGGTATTCCATCAGCGAGGGGCCAGACGGGGAAGGATAATGACCCACCTCATCGTGGCAAGTGCGATCACCGATTAGGGATCCCCGTCTACCATCGGGAGCGTTCTTCTCCCGAGCGGCGCGTCGATCATCACCTCCGACACATTGACTGCCGCGCTAATTGCCACCGATTGTGCAAAAAATCTGACTGACAATTCAACTGTACAGAGGATAAATGTGATATCCGGAAGGCACATATCCCCCTCAGCTCGTTCGACTCAGCTCCTTATCGGCCATGCAAATGATATGATAGATATGATTGATCGTATATCGGGTTTTTGTTCCCACGGGAAAAAATAAACGAATATTTCGTGGCGCAACCGGCGACAATCACAGCGCGTTGAGCGCCGCACTTCTGTGAGAACCGATTGTAAGAGCCCGTGGCGGGCGTCACACGCATTGGTTATCGAGAATTGCAAATTGCTGATTAGAATTCGACCAATCGGGTGATCATGATTGCACGGCATTCGCGCAGCTGGGTCGACCAGTTGAGTCATCGTAACTTGCAATGCACGAGCTTGAAGCTACTGCGAGAATGAGATTTTCGACGCGGATATTTGCACAGATCTAGAATTGGCAAAGTCTAGAGGAGTCCGCAGACCATTGTCTCACCTGTCAGCTGAAGAAGAGGAAGGAACTTCAATTTGAGAGTTGAAGGCAACGCGGAAGATCGATAAGAAGAAATGTCGCGACGTTCCGACAAAGAGACCGAATTTTCACCACAACATTGCGCGGTGAACGTCAATCGCACGATACCTAGACGGACTGTAAGAAAAACGACGCCGAAAGTATATCGGAGCACGCACGCACATACACACATATACATACGTGACTGCACTCGCTGATCGATAGTAGTCGCGCAATCTACGAAACAGGGGAAAAACGTAGCGACTGGTTGAACGCGACGTTAAACCGCTCCACCACGGCCGGGACCATCGCCGTTCGGCGATATCGCGCACGGCAGAAGGTGAATAGCAAAGGGGGCTAAAGAGGGGGAGGAGTGAGAGGGAGGCAGGTGGAGGCAGAAGAACCTGCCATGGCAGAATGCCGGCGCGGAGAAGTTTCGAAATTCGAGTTCGCCGTTCCTCGCGAGAGGATAATAATCGCGGTAGGAGCCGCGAGGAAAGTCGCGAGCACGATTCAAGGCCGGTCGGATGTAATCCCACGAGCTCGCGAGAGAGAGAGAGAGAGAGAGAGAGAGAGAGAGAGAGAGAGAGAGAGAGAAAGAATAGAATAAAATAGAATAGAGTTTACTGAGCCATGAGATTATGAATCTTTTATGGCTTAAGTGATAGAAAAATGAAAATTAACTATGAATCTAAGTAATACAAGAATAACACAAATGACTGGCAGATTCAAAACAAAGAAAAGAATAAATAATAAAGCTGTAAAACAGGAATGTTCTCGCGATCGACTTGAAGGTTTCTTAAGCAAAGGAATATATTTGCACGCAGAGTTCGAAAGTTGTTAATTCTAGATTTGAGAAAAAAAAAGAGAGAACCAGAAAGGAGAAGAGTCGAATCGGTCGCGAGATCGCGACTCTAGGCGCGCTGCTACGCCGGCCACGGGGTATAATGATCGCCCCGTCGACTCGCTCGACTCCCTTTGCACCGGATACAGCGAGTCATCGATCGGTGACTTGCGTTCGGCAAGTGACTGTCCGGATGTGAAATGTGTCGTGTAAACGAGGTGCAACGATGTGACGCGAAGATGGACGTGTGGTGTGTGCTTCATGAGCGAGTCAACTCCGACTCCGTAAAAGGCGACACGCTGACTAAACAGACCCAATTCGACACGACGGTGATCGTTCTCGCCCCGGAGCAGTCGAATATTTTTCTCGCACCGTCACGCCGATCACGATTCACTGCCGAGTTGAGGCATCAGGCGCCGTGCCTTATGACCACGCTGGAGAGAATACACACCTGCTGCGAGAGAGTCGGCCGATACAATGCGGGCACGCAGATGCACTTTCGGGAGGAATCAAAATAGAGCGACTCCTGCAGGACCTGCAGGACTCACGCGCGGACGCGTAAACAAAATTGTAACCTCTACTGCGATCGCTCCACGCAATGTACGCGTGAGATCCCTCGGCGATTCTGCTTCGCACAAGGGAAACCAAGTTTCACGAGGGACACGAGGTGCCCTCGGATCGCCAGGTGTCCTTTCAGTCGTGTGATCAGGTGGTGATACTTGCGAGACCTGTGCGAACGCAACCGACGATCCTGCCCAGCGGAACGTACAAAAGGACACTAGCGAGAGCCCTCTTTTTCTCTCTCTCTCTCTCTCTCTCCCCGCAGGAGCACCGTGTGTCCTGGAGCGTGTGTTTACCTGGCCGTGGCTGCGGAAGGACCCCACCCTCGCCGAGACGATTGCGAGCGGATAGGCGACGTGCAGAAATGCGACTCGTAAGGAGGAAGGGGAAGAGAGAGACGGACAAACAGACAGACAGATAGACAGAGAGGGAATCGCGAACAATTCGGGGGTCGTTGGTCGAGAGAAAATGTCGAGGGAGGAAGGGACCGAGCGAAATTTGTTGCCATGTAACGCGAGGCTTGTCATAACGCAGTTATACGGATGGCGCGTGCTGACGCGCGGATCTCGGAAGTGATATTTATTTACTCACGGTGTATACGCGTTCCCACTGCGTCGGACTCCAGGATGACCGGCGGACGTATCCTCGCGGCAAGGTCGGATATCGACGCGACTCACTGCACGGCACCACGCACGGTTTCGCGCTCGAGATGTGCCCGGAATCTCCGCACGCGACCACAACGGCACCCGTCAAACGCGACACGCGTCCGCCATGTTGCCTGCGACCGCGGCGCTGGCGACGTCTGGCGGCCGGCGCGGCAACTAACCCGCGAGCGAACGCGCGAACTTTGAACGCGTCGAATTTCGCTAATTGAGTGGAGAACCCAAGAAAGGAGTTTATCGTCCGATGTTTCTATAAATGCGTTTGCCGGAACGGGAATCTGACGATGCGACAGCGATATCGCTCGATATTTTCCAGGTAGAACGGCACTGTGCAATATGAAATGAAAAATCATGTGTAAAAAGTGTAAAATTGCATATAAGATCCGAATGACCCGATAAATGTTCAGTTATTTGTGCAGCGTGTTGGCGTCACGTATACTTTAACACTTATCCAGCGGAATTTCATACAATTATCGATCTTGAGCATCTATGTGCAAAGTTAATAATCGTGTATAATGGGTTGTAAAACAGTTTGGACACAATGAAGTTGAGAGCTCACCAAACTATGAAAATTCACAATCATTATCGACTGGCTTATGCAATAATGATATGATTAAAAATGATAAGTGATAACAATTAAAAATAACAAAACATGTAATGAAATAAAAAAAAACTTCTAATATAATTACTGAGTAAGCCCGTCAATAATAATAAGTTTGGTGAGCTCCTAACTACATTTGTTATGTCTAAATCGTTCTGTATCTGAGTGTACAATTGCAAATTATATTTCGTTTAAACTTAATTACAATATACTTCTCGCTTCCTATTTCTCGTTCTCAGTCTTTTTCTGGCTTAAAGTTTGAGTCAGAAAGAGATAAGAAGAAAGAAAGAAACAGGAAGCAAAGAATTTTATTGTAGATTAGGCTTTAGACCCCATATATTGTTAGCCGGGAGCGCTGAGATCGCGCGTTACGTTCCTGTCTATCTTCGATCGGGCGGATGTTTCTCCGTAAGGTTAGTACATATTACTCCGTCAGTGTTACCGAAGTCGTCAATTGGCGTTGTCCAGGCACGAAGCCGCCAAAATATCCGCTTCTCCAAATTCAGACATTATTTGCGATTTCTCGGTACGTAAGATTGTCCAGCACTATAACCGGCGAACTACCACTGCCGAACGCGGCGACACAGTCAACGTAACATTTACGAAAAAGACGACTAATCCGATCTTCTTCCACTTTGCAGGGTACTACATGTGGCACTACTGACCACGTGGGTCGCACACACTGAAGAGCAACGACGTTGCCAAGACGTACTGTTCTCGACGGACGCATGACATCGTGCGACATCGCGACATTATTGTTCTCCGCCTCGGCATCGCCATCAACGCGAAGAGACACAACAGAAAACATTGCTGGCGACATCACTTAGGACCCCTGCTGGCGAGACGACGATCTGAGATTCGAGAGGTTACTGTTGGTAAATGGTACCGTATGCACCTAATACATTTGAGAATCGCGTATTATTTTCGAGGACTGACAGAAAAAGAGAGAGAGAAAGGAATAATTATAGTTGCAAGTCGTGAGCATTTTGTGATTTCTCCTTGAGTGAACTGACAGCTCGTCCAGTCAGATTCACAAGGAATAAAGCATGAGATATCATAACTCTTCCAGTAAAGAAGACACTTGGCAACAGAGAGAAAAATTTAGCTAGAAGATCTGTGGTCGAATACATTGAGATCGAGGAGATTTCTATGCCAGAGCGCAGCAGTAACGTATGTGCAATATTAGTGTTTTGAACCTAGTGAGAGCGTGCTGTATGAGAAGAAGATTGAAAGGATATTGAATTAAAGGACACAACATTTTCAGATCAAATATCTAGAGAGAGTAAATATTAGATACTAGAAGCATGGCCGACACAGACACAGAGTCACAGACAATTAAACACTCGTATCTCTCAGAACACGTAATCTCCAACGAACTGCAGAAGACATTCTCAGATCACTGGCAGAGTTTTCGTGACTGGAAGGAGAGCGGCATTGAGATCATGTCAAAACCCTTTAGAATCTGCAAAATAACAAACTTCCTCAGAAACAAAGAGTTCCTGGAGAAGGTAAAGGACGAGTTATTAGACATGGAATTTAAGCGCAAAGTTGTCGATCTCTACCAGTTCGAACAGACAACCGATTTGGACACCGTCGAGAGTGAGTACCTGACAAAGCTACGTGAGATCTTCCGGGAGGACGTGGCGTTGTGGATGGAGCTGAACACGGATATCACGCTCAATGGGAAGATCTCGATGTCGTGCTCGATCTACTTCGACACTGACCATCTGTTGTGCCATGACGATAACTTAGATGACAGAAGGATAGCTTTCATATTGTACATAATGGACGAGTGGTCGGTCGAGGACGGGGGCGCCTTGGATCTCTTCGACACGGGCGAAGGCGGCTTCCCGAGAGACGTGGTGAAGTCAATTATGCCGGAATACAACTCTTTCGTTTTCTTCGAAGTCGTGGATAACTCTTATCACCAAGTGGCCGAGGTGATATCTCCCGAGAAGATGAGATGGTCGATCAACGGCTGGTTTCACGGCCCCAAGAGGAGCAGCAATAGGCCAGCGAGGTCTATACAGACAAAGAGTCTCATCGAGCCGGACAACGCAAAGATAGAGCTGGACTCTTGGGTCTCGAAGAATTATCTGACCGCCGACATCGGTAAGCAGATCCAGGAGGAAGTCGAGACTAACTCCTTCATCTTTCTCAAAGACTTCTTCAAGCAGGACATGTATGAAGCACTCTCGGCTGACCTAACGTCGCAGGATATCCATTGGCGAATGGTCGGCCCCGCGGATGAACGTCGCTACGAGGTGGCCGACGAGCAGACCTTGCCGCGCCTTTTGAAAGAGTTCTATAACATGTTCAAGTCCATCTCCTTCTTCCAACAGCTGAAGGTTTACACAGATCTCGATCTGACGCCCAACAACGAGTCCATGAAGCCTAAGATGACGGTAGAGCTACAGAGGTGGTCGCAGGGCTGCTACACGCTGATGGTCGACAGAATGAAGACTGCGAGCTCTACGAACGGCAACGAGTCGACGGTGTCGTCGACTGACAACAATATAGACGAGGAGGAGATCGATATCAACAAGTACCCCGACATGCAGTTCAGCAGCGACAGCGAAGATGAGAACAACATTACACAAATGATCGCGGAATCCACCAACCACCACAACGATAAGACCAAATTTGCTGACAATGCTCGCGAGTGTGACACGCGAGATAGCCTGAAAAGGAAGCTGAGTCCTACCTCGCAGTCTTCGAGCGAGTCGGAGACTGACCTGAAGATAGCCAGACGTGATATAGAATCCTCCAATGACTCTTCGGACATATTGAGCAACTTGGACTCGGATTACAGCGCTGACAAGGAGGAGGAGGAGAAAGAGAAAGAAGATGAGGACAAAAGGGAAGTCGATGACGACGAGGAAGATGACGAAGAGGACAAGGGGAGATCCACCGCCGAGTCGGAGCTCGGAGAACTGGATCTTTTAATACAGTTTCACACTGATAACACGAAGGAACTTGACGACTCCATAGACTACGTGGATCCCCTCGACCCGAAGGGCGAATTGGTTCACGTCCCGGCAAAGGACAATCACCTTTGTTTAGTCTACAAGACCTCGAGCATCTGCCGGGTTCATCATTACGTCAATCATTATTGCAAGGACTATTTTTACAATTTGATATGCACGTATTATGAGTAGTCGCGCGTCAGAGGCATGTTTTTGAAATATATAGACTACCAAACTTCAGGAGCACGTTTCGGTGAACATGCACAATCCCAAGAGAAAAAAGTACCGAAGTTTTAAAAGCGGAACAATGCCCCGGAAAATCCCGAAAACCGAGTACATAGGGACAATTTCCCGAAATATTGAAGACCTGAAGTTTTCAGCAATTTGTATAACTTTTTGGGACAACTTCGTGCTTTCAATATTTCGGGAGATTGTCTCTGTATCCGATTCTCGCGATTGCGACTTCTCGGGACGTTGTCCCAATTCTTAAGTTTCGGAATCTTGATTTTTCGAGATTATGCAATCCACCCACGTCTCATTCATCGTGAAGATGAGAGAGATCGTAAGAATTTCGCAAGTAGCTCGTGAAAGCTCGGGGAATGCTTCTTTCACGAGTTAACAATCACTTGCTCTCATCATTACGACGAATGGAGTATTTTTCTGAAGTTTCTCGTCAATTGTGTGGGAATGTCGTGTGTACAGTAATATTCTTGTCAAATCGGTGTGATTTTATTGAAAGTAACTAGAAAAAAAATAGGAGAAGATATGCTCTACCAAATCTTGTATGAATGTCAACAAACGTTCTCGTATCGAGATCGGTAGTATTTTCTTTGCAAGTGAATTGTGTGTATATATGTTGTGTAATATTTATTATACATTAAATGAATTTCATCGGTACACTTAGCGGGTCCTTCACTCCTCGCGATGGCAAACGCGTCGAGCACGAATGCGTGCGCGTTTGAATTTTCGTGCAAAGCGCCGTTAAGTTCGAGCGTTCGGCGATATCTCGAGAGAAAATACACGAATAGAGTCAGCAATGTTAAACAAGTTTTTCATTAGAGAGATTTTGCAAGATTTGAATACACAGTGGATGCGAGCGAGTACTTCGAAATCTCACTCACTTTTAAGATCAAGATCGTAATGGAGGAACGTACAGAGTCATTTATTGAATGCGCTCTATAGATGGTGTGACAGAACCCTTCGTTTCATTCGTGAGAGTCACGGCAAACGTTTTTTACGGGGTTCATGCAAGTCGAGTAGCGGAGTGGTGTGCTCAAAGAGGAAAGCCCGAAGGAAAAGTTTCGACGCCGATCTCGGTGCTTCGCGCATACGTTATTGCAGCTGTTGTTTATTACTTTCTAAATTTCTCGGAATGGAATCTCACTTAAAACATGTGAAAAGCGATAGCTTCACTGATAACGGTAAGGAAAATATTGCTATCCGAAAAATATCCATCCGACGCTTCGGAATGGAGACTACTCTTTACGAATGAAAAAGCACTCGAATTCGAGTGATTCGCTTTGGACACTCTACTTTCGGAGTAAAATCTCATTCCGAGAAATTTTGAGTATTATACACGGTGTGTGAGAGGAAGAATATCTAAGAACTAAAAATTTTTCATCGATGGATACTATTAACATATTTACTTAGACTAATAGTAAAATATTTTTCAAATAATAAAATGTACGTTCTCTTAAAACATTAAGCTTTTCATAAAAGCAATCGTTTATTCTATCTAAATAAAGAAATTTAGATTTAAGTAAATATGCTATTAGTATCTACCGAAGAAATGTTTTTACTTTTTAGATATATTTTCTCAGTATACCACGCTGAAAAAAATTTTTTGAAAATTTATTTGTGGGATATAAAGTTCATTTCATTAAATGAACTTTGTATCCCACAAATACATTTTCAAGTATCTTTTTCTCAGTGCAGAAACTTCCTTTTCGGTCATCATTGAATGTGAGTGATACGTGTATTAGAGAGCAAGAAATTGGATCAATTAAAAACATGTGCACGTGATGAGAAAACATGTAATTCTGACGCTTCAAATACCTTTTCACTCAGAATCTCGCTATTCTCCGCCAGTCCTAAGATCTTGCAACTCGTGCAACTGGTTGGTGCAAGGAAAGGTCTCGGGAGAAAGAGATATAGAAAGAAAAGCGAGGCTTACGCTCTGTGAACGTGGTGATTGCACTCGGAATCGGGTTCCTGCACTTGAATCCTGGGTCGCGGAAAGCTCTGTTGTCCCGCGCCATCCTTGACCGCCTTCGTGGTGACCTAACACGTGATAAGCCGTTTTAGTGCGAACATCAGCACGGCACGTCGCGGCTTCGTCGTCGAACGCGAGCGGGGAGGAAGGTTGGAGCGCGCCGAACTGAATAGGGGACTTCGTCCGCGAACGTTCTCCCGCGTCTTCTATTTTGAGCGATCACGCCGGAAACTATTAATGGGCGCACCTATACAATACGGTTCCGTTCCGCGTGACTTCATCGGACATTCTTTAAGTAGTCGTGTACGTTCGTCTGATCGCTGCTCAGGGCTCCGCGGCTCCCTGCTCGTGTGATCGTACTAAATCATGACGTCAGGAGCAGGAAATTAGTTCTTCCACGTGTCACTATTCGCGTTTGGTCATATTTTTATGCCGACCCAGATTGACTTTTTCCAAACTCCGGTCAATCTTAGCCGATGGTTAACTGGCAGAGTTGCTAATGCTGACTTTTATCAAATGCTGTCGTTTAACTTAATCTACGTTTAAGTCTTCGTCTGAATAGAGTTGAAACTTAGATTAAGATTTAAGTAGCGTTTATACGAATGGACATAACTCACATTGCTGTTGGCAAAAAAATTGAGAGAGAAAGAAAGAAAGAGAGAGAGGAGTTAGGAATTTCAGTCGGCCATTTTTTATCAGTTAATCTTCCCCCTTCCCAATAGGCTCGATTATACATATAACCGGAGTCTGTAGAAAGTCTATCTCACACAAAAAAGTTTGATTGAAGTAATCAAATTTCTGTGATGAAATATGAACAAACTAAAAATTCTCTGTCTGAAATTACCAGAATTCTGTCGACGTTAATGAGATTTCTGATCAACTCCGACGGAATTGTAACTTCAGTCGGAATTTTCTGGTTCGTTTATATTTTTTTCACCAGAAATTTGATTAACCCAACCAAACGTTTTTTCAGTACAATCTTACTACTTACGTCTCATTGTTTGTGTTTTTCGGAATGTCACACACACAATCCTAAAATTGGATCTGCGGTCACATGGACGTAAACAATAAGTTCAAATGGCAAGCAAATTGAATCACACGTAAAGAGAATAATTAACCGTGTTTGGTTAATTTGCTTACTCAGCTCGAGTTCCATATTTACATTTCTGTGTGTGCTGTCGGCTTAAGGTTGACGATTTATAATGGGGCGTCTCAAGACGGTGGCTAACATCCGATTAACTCGTCGCGACGTGTGTGGACGGAATGGACGGTGCAAAGCGTCCGCTTCATCCCGTCAACGAGCTCGTTACTCGTAATTAGACCCGTCGATTACCACGCGCGCGCGCGCGCGCGCGAAAGTGAGAGAGAAACAGACAGAGGGAGAGAAAGAGAGATGAAGAACATAGGGGATCGTCCGGTAACTTGCTAGTCTACCTGGGACGTGGAGGCGATCCCAGCCATTCGTTTCCGCAGCTCGTTCAGTTGCAGCTCCTGCTGGAAGCTGGCGTCGCTCTCCTGCGACTCCTCCCGCCTGCCGCCCTCGATCGATTCCGTCGAATATTCGACTTGGACCCAGGGACAAATCGTCGGTGACGATTGCAGGGAGCCCTTGCTTCCGGGACGGGACAGGCGTGGAGAAAGTCGCCTCAGCAACGACACAAGTTTCGATCTAAGGTAATATTTTTCTATTCACATCCTGTACAGAGAGCGGGACGCAATGAAGACAATGACGAGACGAGGGCGAGGGTGTCTCATGAAAATACGATATTCGCGACAATTTATCGATCGTTCATCAGGATCGAGATTGCCGTTATTCACGATTGATACGTAACTACGCGCATCAGCAAATTAGCTTAATAGGTGCTTAATTATTATTATCTGTAATTAAAGTGTACTTTTAAATCCTTGGTGAATACAGAAAAATACTCCGATTAGAGGCAATAGTCATTAAACTTCTGACTTCTATTGAATCTTTAATGATTCCAACAAAAATTGATATTTAGTCTTTAAATACAACTGTTTAATCTTTCAACGTAAAAAACATATATACATATATTGAATACATGTATTGAATACATGCATATACTTTGATAAAAAATATTTGAACATTTCTTTGTGAGATATCAAGTTTATTCGCCGAAATAAACTTTATTTCGCGCAAAAATAAACTCGACACACCACAAGTAAATTTTTTCTCAGTGAATATTCTATGTTAAGAAAGTTTAAATAGTAAAAATTTGAAAACCAAAACAATATGAATGCCCAGGATTAGGTGCTTGCCCGGGAATTGGTACTTTCGGCTTAATTAGCGTTTGGCAAACGAACAACGTCACGACTGACACAATTTATACATCTTTGTCGCGTCGTTGCTTGTCGATCGTTTCTGCCGAGATGAACGCGTTTCTGTCGCGTCTCAAGTGTCCAAGAAAGACGGCTAGTTCAGCCGCGCATATTCCATAACGCGGCGAAACTATGCCGAATGAAAGCTGCCTATAGTACGGTCTTCGGGCCCCGTTAATTGTTTCATCAACGCGTAATCAATTAATCCTCTTCTCGTGCGTGCCGCGCGATCTTCACGTTTCCACCGAGAGTTTTACATCTCCATTACATTACACGTTCATCAAATAGAGATAGCAATCCGCGCTTTTCTTTTTCCCATTTCTTTTCCGTTTTATTTATTTTTCTTTTTTTTTTTTTTTTGCTAAATTAACCGACTGTTTTTAATGCAACTCGGCCATCGCGTTCGCGTGTCCTGGAATCCTTCTCCTCCTCCTCCTCCTCCTCTTCCTCCGCGTTCGTTGCTGGGATCTGCTGGCGATTTATCCGCCACGTTCGCCGATGATCCCTACTCGTCTCACCTCCGCCGCTGGATTTCTTTTCGACTGCTCGCTACCGTTATACTTTTCCGCTCGTCTGCCGCGCGAAACGGCCGCGAACGAATGCGCTTATCATAAATTACTCGCCCTCGCGTGCGAGCGCGCCGAACAGCGCACTTGCTTGCATGCGAACAACGAACGTACGCGGCGCGAATGCTGCATCAGCATACCTCGTGCTCGGCGTCTGGAGATGATCGGAAGTGAGAGGCGCGCTCCGAGAAAGCTGCTCGGCGCTTCGCGTCGCGTCCCGCCAATGAAGCCTGTTGGAACCGAAAGTGACGGACCGTCCTACCCTCCAGTCCAGGCTGCTGCTCTGTCTGGCTTGCAAACCTTCACAGAGAAGCCCGAAATGATTTACCATGACCGCCCGTCAAGTGTCTCAACAGGTAATGTACTGAAGAGTAGGTGAAGCTGGTAGACGAAGGTGAAGTGAAGCGAACTTTCGAAGGGACACGTGGCATGCTAAAGTTTATTCCTTTAACAGGAGCGTCAAGCTCCTGACGTCAAGGTCAACTGGAATTATCAGGGTGTACTTTCTTAAACGTTCGCGTTTGTAGTTTTTCTGAGTTTTTTATTTAATGCTCTTATTCTCAATTCTCTTCTATCGATGAAAGTGTCTGTAAATATGGCTTGTAAGCCTTTTGATTAACTTTCAGTGGCATTTAGAAGCACTTTTATCGGAGAGAATTTAGAACAAGGATTGAGGTCTTCAACAATCAAATGGCGGGCGCCAGCTTGAAAATAGGATATCTTTTTCAACTTGAAGTAGGAATTGTCTTATAAGAATCGCATAACGAGTGAATTACCTTGCTCGTTGGCGCTCTGGCCGACCCTCCAATCCAGAGAATTACTATTTCTATTCACGCTATAAATGTTATCACAGGATTTGGTGGCAAGGCATGTCGCCTGATGACGACGTCTCAGCAGTCTTGATACTGGTCCCAAGTTTCTGCAAAAACGCGTCGTTTCTCAGGTCGGCGATCATGTTTCGCGCGCGTATATCATCGGTGACCAGCAAAGAATCTCAAAAAACAAACGATTTCCGGCTTATCGCTGAAATACGATGTAAAGCGAGATAAAAGGTACCTACCGACGATATCGATCGTTCAGCGAAATTGTTATCTCGTTGAAACTGCGATTCCCTTATCGCAACGGAAAATATATCCGTCGGAGCATATACATTTATTCTAGACGGATATTCTATCGGATCATATATTGATATCAAGATCAGAATTTGATCAATCGATTAATATCGATCTTAGCTGCCAATCGAATTTCAAATCCGCTGCTCACGCACAGAGGAGAAAGATTTGTTTAAAACCAAATTCGATTTCCATATACACACAGAAAAATACATACTGCATTCAAATAATTGTCACTTGTCTAAAGTATTTCGTAAGTTCATACATCCGCAAATTTATCATAAATTTTTTATCATAAGCACCAGATTTATTAAAAATACATTCTGAATTCTGATAAGTTTACCATTTCACTCAAGAGTGTTAGAACAAAATTCCGGTTTACTTATTTCGGGTTTACTTATTTCCGATTTACTTATTTCTGGTTTACTTATATGGAATCGAACCAACTTGTTCTTAGATAAAATTTTATAATATCCTTGTAAAGAGAATAAAAATTCTTCTATTGAATACATGATAATGGATATTATCACACGGGAAAAAAATTTAGTTAAATTAATCAAATATTTAGTGAAATATGAATAAGTTAGAATTCTGGTTAAGAAAGACTAGAATTCTGTTCGAATTAACTGATCAACCAGAACTTGCAACTGTTCAATTTGAGCAGTTGCAAATTCTGATTAACCAGAAATCTTGTTTGTCTAACCAAAATATTATTAACTTGACCAGAAACGTCAGCTTCTGGTAAACGTCAACCAGAATTTCGGTTCGTTCATGTTTCATCAGATATATGGTTAATTTAGCTAAATTTTCTTTTCCGTGTGTGAAAAAGAGACTGTTGAAGATAACCATTATTTAGAAGTAATTACAAAGTAAACTCTTTTTTGAGCAGTAGAATGATATTTTTCTGTGCGTAAGAGTGAGAAATTTTACTTCCCCCCAACGGTTTGTTCGTTGTCACGTTAAACCACGCGTTTCTCTTCATGCGCGATCGAAGCAAAGAATCTCTTCGCGCGGGCGTGTACTCACTTCTTGAAGCGTCGTGCTTGCTGCTCGATCGGCGGCTTGCTCTCGGCCAGTCTGGCTTCCGGTTCCGGGCAGTAAGTCCCCACGCGCACGTGGCTGTAGGTCGCGCGCAGCTGCACCCCGTCCAACGGCCGGAAGTTGCTGCGCTCGATGGACGAGACGCGCACGATCTCGATCTTCGGCCGCGCCTCTCCGCCCCGCCGCTCCATGCTGAAGCTGAAGCGCGCGCAATTTGAGCCGCGATGAGAGATCGACGCGTTCTCCAGTCAATCGCTCTCGACTCCGTCCGGTGGGTGGTCCACCCTCCGCGCATCTTCCCGTGCATCCATCACAACAAGACCGCCGCGTCTTCTCACGCTGCAACTTCCAATCGAATCATCTCTTCGCCGTCTCCACCTTCCTTTATATTCTTCTTGCTCCTGTTATCTCACTCGTAAGAAATCGCGCGACCAAGGAGCCGCGCACGCCCACACCGAGAGAGAAAGAGACCAGAGAAAAATACGTCACTGGCGATACACCCGCGCCTCTCTGACGCGCACACGCACACGCATGTACAAAGTCGCTCGTGTAAAATTGCAAACAGAAAGCTACGGTGTCGCGGCGGTCGCTGTGTCGACGATAAAAAAGGTGCGGGGATTATCTTGACGATAATAACTGTCGTGCACGTAACGCGACGTTCCGACGCGTTTTCCCGCAGCCGCTACAGGTCCCCCCCCCCCCCCCCCC